AATAATAATCCAGGCTACAAATAAAATTTAAGTTTTATTACTATAAAACTTTTTAGATTGTTAATCTTTTCAGTGGCTGTGGTATACATCATAGTATGTCGTAAAATATGGGTTGAAAAATAAGAATTTCCATCGATATGTAATTTATAGGTTACCAATAAAAGTCACTTAAAGTAGAGCTTAACTAGAAAACTTATTGTTTATAAAACAGATAGCAGCACATTAAAATATTATGTCTTGCTCAAATAGCCATCTCATAGACTGACCTCGTTCTACGTTCACTCGCTGGGCAGAGTCAAGTTCACCTGTTACGTTCACAGACTTTGACGCTAAGCCGTGACAGTTCACATAGATAAGTTGCTGGCATCTCTGATGGCCCCTTCGATTTGTTTAAAGTATTTGATGTAGAGCGCATGTGTCGGCTGCCTTTTGCATGCTGACTATTTTGTCACTTTGTCTCGCAGCCTGTCACTTCCGTGGCCGACATGTTCGCACAGCCGTCTTTGGTTTCTAATGCGAGTACACATGGCTGGCGACACGGCAGCAACATGACAGCGATGCCAATGTATGGGATGATAATGCCAAACGCACACACGCACACAAACACAGAGACACTCACATACACAATCGCATAATTGTCAGCCGGATAAGTTCTCGAGTTTTTGGCCTTGCGGCAAAACTCGCGGCCGACGCCATTTTGCCGTTTTCTTTCCATTTCGCATGCGGCTGGCGAAATGATTAATTAAATTTATCACATCCTCGTTGCTGGCGCTGTTGTTGTTAATTTAAATGTCGAAATTGTGACAAGACACATTAGGTATCTGTTGTTACAGCGAGCTCTTCATCTATTTGTCTATCTCTATCTCTAGCTGTGTCTCTCCATCTCCATCTCCATCTCCATCTCCATCCGTATCTGTATCTGTATCTGACGCAGAGTAGCCGCAAAAAGTCAACGGCTCGAGAGGAAAATGTTGCGTTAATTAGTCAACATAACGAAAACTCTCAAGGACTAAACAGCAATGCGACAACCAAATGTTTATACAACTGTTAGTCTCGCTGTTATACCATATATGTATCTATCCATACACACATACATACATATATGTACACTTATATGTATGTGTCTATATGTCGAGCTATAATTAATCTAGCGAAATGCCACAGTTGCTGTCCAAATTTAATGAGCGGCTTGACTCGAGCCCCTAAATGCCAGCGGCACATTGCAAATGAGCTCGGCTCAGCCAAATCTATCTTAATTGGCCTTCGATTAGGGGACTCAACCATAAATTCTATTAGTTTCCATTCAATTTCATATTCATATCGAGCTACTTCGATTCATCTACTCGAAAAGTTCCGCAAATTTAATGGATTTGGATCCACCCTAAGTAATATTAATCTGACATTAGGCACTTAGACACATATATATCTAAATATTTTATATTTTATTTAGTAGAATCCGGCTATAACGGCGCTCGAGGAACCGTCGTTATACCCGGAAGACGTTATAACCGTATAAATTTGCTTACATAACTTTGTCTGGAGCCCAGAATTTTCGTTGCAATAACCGTACGAACGCCTTAAACGGAGTCGTTATAACCGGATTGTACTGTATTTTATAAGATTCAAAACTGGAGTAGTTATTTGTTCAGCTAGTTTTGATTTACTTCAACGATGAATCGAAATAAATTTTACATATCGAAAATACTGGAAGAGTGGCAAATTGGAATGAACTATATCTTCCGCTGTCGCTGGTGTTCCAAAATGAAACGCCCTTATCTGGCACTCTTACCAAAAAAGAATCAACTGTTTTTAGAAAGCCATTGTGTACTACGCAATGTTTACATATGTAGATAACTTTCGATCAACGTGCACTAACCGCATACTATTTAACAATAATATTAGAGGAGGAGCGTTGCATAGAAGTATGAGAATCGCAAAGAAGAGCAGTGTTGAAATGAATTTTCATTGAAGTTGCAGAGTTGCCTCACTTGCAGCGAGAGCCCATTCAGCAGCTCCATCAAATGTTGCGATGAACAAAAATTCTTGTTTGCCTTTCGCTCAGCTCAGGTGTGATTGGGAAATTCAAGCGCCTATAGACTTACCGAGCAACGTGTAGGCCAGCAGCAGCATGCAGATGCCCAAATTGGTGAGCAGAGCGGACCAAACCGTTTGAGCCGTTTGTTTGCGTTTCTTGGATTTGGTGGCATAGCCGGGCGGCGCTTTGGCCTCCGATGCACTGGGCCCCGAGCCGAAGCAGGCGCACCAGCCCTGGCGTCGGGCGCGCTGCTGCGACTGCCCAGCGGAGGCCGCCGACGGCGGCTCTTTGCGTGTCGGCGCCGTATTTGCCACCAGCTGGAGGGGCAGCAGCTTGGCATTGCTTTTGAGTGTGCCGCAATTGCTGTTAATGGAGCTGCTGGCGCTGTTGGCCAGGTTGGGCCCCGGGGCCGGTGGCAGCAGCTCGGTTACATAGCCGATGGTCGATGGTGTTGGGTATTTAAGTATGCCGGCTGGCTGCGTTTGTTGCGATGGCGGCGGCGGCGGCGGTTGTTGCTGCTGCTGATGTTGCTGCTGCTGTTGCTGTTGCTGCTGATGTTGCTGTTGTGTTGCTACTTCAATGTCCTCCAGCGTTGGCATCGGCAACAGCTGCGTCGGCAACTGGGTCTGCAGCTGGGGCGGCGTCGTCAGCGACATGGTCGTCAGGGAGAGGGGCATCATTGTTGTTGGGGGCGTTGGCTGCTGCGTCGGCTGCTGCGTAGGCTGCGAGAGCAGCGTTGACGGCGTCGTAGTCGGGTTCGTCATCGTAATTGGGATTAATTTGGAAGGGGTGGGCGTTTGGATCAAAGGGGAAGTTGAAGATGTCGATGCTGGGATCGGGTTCATCGTCGTCGTCGTCTTGAATGTGCTTGTTGAAGGCGGCGTGGACAGCAGCAGCGGCAATGTCGGCGTGCCGGCCCCGACGCTGGATAAGTTGGAGAGTACGCCAAAAGAACCGTAACTGCTGGTCGACGTAGGCGGGATGCCGCCATAGCCCAGACTCCCCGCTGCCCCATAGCTGTCTCTCTCCCCGCTGTAGTCGCCGCATGTAACTCTCTGCGACGCAGGCGGCGGCCCAGATGGCATCTGCATTGTTTGGTCCGAATTCATCTTGCATTTGTGGTGCTGGTATTTGCGCCTGGCGTTCGGTTACCTACAATCGATACAAGTTCATAAATATATTAAAAATACATCATATATAACATAAATATATCATATCATATACATATTCAATATATAATCAAAAATACAATTTTTGTTTTTTATCGAAATTTTGATGCAACATCTATTGAAATTATCTCTAGAGTTACAAATCCATAGTGATACCATTTGGTATATTTTAGCATATGATCAGCAAAATTGAGCAAATTTAGCTGTTGAGGTCACTACAATTTGCCTGACTATGTTT